AAGCATTGAGCTGATGCTTCTACAGGAAGCAGACAATCCTACCCTGCAGTTTAAATTACATTATTTCAGTGTGCACTGCAGGCCGTACTGGCTTGGTTGGTTTGTGACGGTGTGTGGATTGTTCAAACCAGAGGTCCTGTAACTTAGCACAGGTGAAGTGCCGTCAATTTACAAAATTGCATTGACTTGACAAGAGAAAGACCACGGCATAGTACTCAAAGGCAATGCCAGATATTATTCTGCTGCTATATGCAGGCTTTCAATAGAAAAGCTGAATACAATCAAGCCAATCAAGAAGATACTCTTGCTGGGCTGGTTGGCCATCAGACTCCTCCAGCATTTCCTGAGGGGGGGGGGGGGGGGTGCTCTGATGAAGTATGATGTCCCCAGGTTCATGGATGTTGGATGAGAAGTGACTCTACTTTCCAACCATACAGGCGTAGGTAACTGATATCTTCTTGTGAAAGCTTGGACAATCCGCTTGTCCAGGCAAGAAGGCAGCAATGCCGGTTCATTCTGGCGAAGTAAAATAGAAATATACCAACCATATCTCCCATGGATCGAGATCAGGGATGGTAACCAGAAACTAGATTCTGAAGGTTAGGCTCTCTATCCATGGTGTCATTACAGGAATGACTGTACACACAATATCACACCAGTCCCTTTTTATTACGACACAATTTGTGTTCCGGAAATTCTGCTGGATCAGGGAGGGTGCTGGATTAACAAAAACGGTTTTCCTGCTGCGATGAGCATGAAGAGGATTTGGCTGTTTAAAAAAAATTGCTGGTTTAGGCCGCGGTCACACCAAACAAGCCGTTTCCAGCTTGAGTTGAAAGTGGCTTGTGCTGAATGAAGCGGTTGGTCACATCGACCCGTGACGGCATGAGATCCGCTGACTTTTTTGGCGTGCTGTAGAGGTTTTTTCTTCGCGCTAGTTTTTTTGCTTGATTTTCTCTTGAACATGTACGTGGCCATCAGCAGAGTTTTGGCACTGTACTGGGAGCGGAGATTCATTGCCGCACTGGAATCAGGGTGATTATTTTAAAGATTGAGGGAGCCATGGATCCTGAAACTAGGCTCCGTGCCGTTGTCTTCACCTTGCTCTGCACCAACATCATCGTGTGCATGCTTCTGTCGCACGATGCATCGATGGCAAGATGCGCTTTGGATTTGCGCGAGTTTGTTTTTCCCGCCACTGCGCCAGAGTGGCTGAAAGTGGCAGAATCCATTCAGCACTCCATTGAGTGCTTTGAAAACGGCTGCCTGCTGAGAATAGCTGAAACCGAAAATTCAGCCTTTCTATAGCAACGCTGACGTCACAAAGCTCTTTTTTCCGCTGAATGGCTGAATCGCGCTTGGTGTGACCACAGCCTTATAGAGAGTGTTTGGTTTGTAAAGTGTTGGATTAATAAGGGATGCCTGTATTCTAAATCTTTCCTTGTTGTTGGTGTTGCCATGGTAGCACCCATGCTATGACATATCCAGTGGGCATCTGTTGCAGTTTTTCTTCGGCAGGACAGGTTCAAGGGCACATGCTTCCTGCCAATTACTGCGCTAGTGCAATCAGGCTTTGTTTGTTGTGCATGCATGCTGGCGTTTCACTGGGTGGCATTAATTTATGTCATATGTAGGGGGGGGGTGGAGGGACCAGGGTACGTTGGAAGGGAGTCAGTCTACTACAGCTATAAACCTAAACAGACATCAGTAGGGTTTCTGAGGTTTCCCCATCTGTAAAGGAGCGGTCAGTGTGTTGAGAGTGCGAGAATCAACGTGACTTCTACAGCCACTCGTATAATGGCATTGGTTTGTGCGTTGTGCGATGCTGGTACTTGTATAATGGCATTGGTGTGTGCGTTGTGCGATGCTGGGCCGTTGCTTTACCGTATGCTGTTTTCTATTTTCCGATATGCGTAGGTATTGGAGGTGCTGTGAAGACTTCTCCCCCGTGTCCTTGCGCATAGTATAGCCCAATCCTGAGCAGTGGTCTGCAGCCGTATCAGCCGCACGCGGGCACACTCACAGCAGAAGAAGAATGATGCTTCTACTGCTGTGGAATGGCAGTGTAGACCTGGCCATGTCTGTCGTTCTGGCATGCTGCATTGTCACACTGACATACTGCATTCATCCAGCCGTAGCGCAGGACAAAAACCTGTTCAGTGTAAGTCGTGACACATCATCGATATGCGGGGTTTTTCCCGGGGTATCGCCCACAACAGTGTGCGGTTTACATCCAGTATCCTATCCTCCCCCCCCCCCCACCCCTCTTTCCAAGATGTTTGGTTTCAGTTTATTAATATTTACAGAAATGAAAGTAAGTTTGGGGTATAAATCACAGGACCTATGTGGGCCAAGTGTTGAGAAATAGTGGTGTGGCTTTGACCCATTGGATAATCAATTGTATTATGTATAGGTTCAGAGCTTATTCTGGAGCAAAGCACAAGAGTGCTTCAGATGAGAGTCTGAGTAGCTGTGCGTTTCCAGAGGATTTCATGGGTGCATTATGCTGTCAAGTAACCCTTTTATAATATGGATGAATGTGTGTATATGTGTTTGTGTGTGTGTGTGTGTGTGTGTGTGTGTGTGTGTGTGTGTGGGTGGGTGGGTGGGTGGGTGGGTGGGTGGGTGTGTGTGTGTGTGTGTGTGTGTGTGTGTGTGTGTGTGTGTGTGTGTGTGTGTGTGTGTGTGTGTGTGTGTGTGTGTGTGTGTGTGTGTGTGTGTGTGTGTGTGTGTGTGTGTGTGTGTGTGTGTG